TGTAAACTTAACTCAAGATGGCCGAATGGTGGCCATTTTGCTTTTGACAAATTCTATGTATATCTATGTATAACATAGAACAATATTGTCATCTGACTGTTGACCATCAGATATTTATACCTGCCCAAAACCAGATCTTGGGCATGTGTTGTTTGATTATCTTCAAACTTGGGAGAAGGAGTAAACATTACTGGAGGTTGATTCCACGTCACTTTGATTTGTGAAGTCTGCTCAAGATGGCTGACTCAATCAATCTATCTATGCGGTGGATTTCAATGAAATTTAGCCAACCGATGGTTGCTTCATCAAAATAAAATGTTACCTTGTCAAGCTAGGCTGATTTTGAAAAAGTTAAGAGAATGTTTCAATTTTAAATGACTAGTTGTAGTATTAAAATTGTCTTAACTTCTTCCTGTTTTTTGTTTTCAGGTTTGGAAAGCCGAACCAAGTCATTTTTTCATAACAGGCAAGTTTTTGTGACCTCTCTGTTGGCCTGTCAAGGATCCCTATGGGTTGGCACCAGTGTTGGTGTTCTCCTAGATTTACCCACCCCAAAACTTGAAGGTGTGCCCCTTATAAATGGACCAGCTAGAGTTTGTTATCATACACATGTTGGGCCTGTGAGATTCCTTGTGGCAACACGTAGGAAAAAGCTTCCAGGTTGGCAGTTTGTACGTCCTGACCTTTTACGCTCTGAAGATGGAGACAGCTATAGTCTGACAAGCGAAGATGGTGCAGAAGATCCCCTGGAAACCAGCAGTGCAGCCACAGTTGCTATGACAACCAAGCCACAAAGCTACATGGCATTTACATTTGATGAGGATGAAGAAAACCAGGGACAGAACTCTGAGGTATTTGTAGATGCAGGTGATGTGGTTACCACGTCAACATCAAAGTCTCCACGAAGACACAAAGGAATTCGATATTGTTGGTCCTCCAATGTTGGTCGTGTCTGGAGGAGAAGGTCATTGGTATTTGAAAGGTGAGGAGAAAGACAGAAAGAACAAGGAGCCAAGGTTAATGACCTGGCAGCTTGGATGATAATATTGGAGTAGGATTTATTCTCAAGTGTCTTTCATAATCTATTGTTGAGTTATTGTGATGTCTTAAAATAATGTGGCACCTTGACAATACTTACCAAACTTTGTTTAGTACTGTATCTCTACTTTCTACTTCATCTATGTTTTTTGGTACATAAGACTACCAACTAGACTTGCATACAGTCACTTGTTTATTATTTTATCAATAAAATACTATGTGAGTGTATAAATAGCAATAACCAGGTTACCATGTTCATTTATGATTGGGGTTTACTGCTTGATTTACAGGCTCAATAATATTCCACCAATCAGCTCAAAATCAAAATTGGATTTAAATGTTCATAAACAAACATCGGCCGCAATAGATTGTTAGAAGTCATGCAAAACTGAATTTCTTGCCAACTCAATTTCTTGATCGGTAAGTGACTTCTGGCCAGCTTTGAACAGTCTTCTACGGTTATCCAATTTTTTTTTATATTTGAGCCACATACAATGCAAATGCATTCTTGGATCCTCGGATATACAATGGTCAACGTCATGGCAATGGCTTGCCTGCCATTCACTGCCTTCTTGCAAGCTACGCCTATCAAATCCTCTGATATGTAAATTGCAACTTATTTGAAACGCTTATCAAGATAACAGCAAAGAAACCCTAGCAAGGAAAACAAGTGTCTTGTTTGTTTTGCAGTAACCCAGGTTTCATTATTTATACACTGGCATAATATAACGCCAAAAAACGGGACTGTATGCAAGTCTAACTGCCACCAACATTGTTTGGAGTTTGGCATTTGGCATCTGAACTCAGTTCTTGTCCTCAATTTGTTCTATGAATTAATTTGATGATTTCATTCAGTAGAGGCCCATGTCCATTTAAGAAAACAGTATTTAGTCTCTGTATGGCAAAGGATTTTTTGGGTGCTATCCACCCATGTGCCATTATAAATAAATAAACGCTGCTCGGACTGATAAGTA